CCACTCAGTCTCTGATGAAGCCTCTCACCGCCCCTGAGCCTCTGGCCTGTACCCCAGTTCTGTATGCACAAATAAATAAATCTTTAAAAAAAATCCTTTGAAATTCCTAAATACGGCAGGGATGACCTGTGGCACCTGTCAGTTGTCTTCTTGGTGTCTATGGAGAAAGTGGTCAGTGACCCCTGGTCTGTGGTGCTGGACATTCAAAGGGAGACGTTTGCTTGTGCCTGTCAGATGGGATTTATTAAGCTGTTCTAAACGAAACCCTCTCTCTCCCTTCTTAGGGCTGCATCTGTAAAGACAGAAGCCAGTGTTTCTGCAGCGGGACCAAAGGGGAGAAGGTAACTCAAAGCTCAGTCCTGCTTCTTGTCCGCGTCGCTCTCGCAAGGCATCCACACTCTCCCTTTGTTAGAACAGAAGGAACAGGCGTTTTCTACTCCATTTCCCAAATTCGGTTTGAAGCAAATGTGTACAACTATTAACCTTTAGAAAATAAAACCTTCTAGGAAGTTCCTTATAGTTTGTGTTAATTCTGGTCATTACATTATAACTTTCTAGATCAATAAAGAAAAAGAAGCAAGTTAAGGAAAGGCACCATTTAGAACAACTCCATAGATATGCTGTTTGCTAAATTCTAGAGCACAGCTGAAAACAACTTGACTCTTGCACTTTGGCATAAAATGTTGAAACCAGAATGTGCCACGTGGGTGGGAAAGCGCCCCCTGGTGGGAGAATGCTGCGTGGCCTGCTGGTGCCAGTTGCTCAAATGGAGCAGAGAGGAGCTGCCCCATGGCAGAATCCGGTACAGGGATGCTGTGAATCTCCGGAATCTGCTCCGTTAACTTGGAAACTGCCAGTTAAGACTGAGGCAGAACTGGGGTTGTTTCTTTGTTGAGAAAACTCTTTTCCAGAAACACAAACGAATTATTTAATACTATTGAAAGGTGACTACTTCAAAATATTTTCAAAGAACATATTTTAAGCTCTTTAGATTATATATATATATCTGTAAAAATCTATATTTTATAGATATATATAATCTTATGTGTTATATATAACTTTATATATATAATCTATATTTTATTTATATATATATATATAAAATCTATACACACACATCACATGTGTTCATTACAGTCATTATAAGTATATCCTTTTTAAGTTATTGCATCCTCTGCACGTAGCTTTAGGTCTTGTCCCGAAGTTAAGAATGTGGCCTGTCAGGTTGTGCGGCTGTGACCTTGTCACGTGAATAGTCTGTGGCTGTGACCTTGTCATGTGAATAGTCTCTCTCAGTGCATTTGGCAGAGTCTATGCATGTGTGGACACTCTCCAGCCATGTGGAGGGAGCTGAGGGCTGAGAGGGGCGAGGACATTCTTTTATTTCTTTTTCTTAGTGGGTTTGTGCATGCACAGTAAATTAGCTGGTGTGTTTTTTAAATTTCCAATAAGATGTTTTAATTGGAAGCAGTTGATTCAGTCAGCCCATCTGACTGATTCAGTAACCCCAGCCCCACGCCCAGGGCCTGCTGTAGAGCCCTGTCACTCACTGAGCCTGATTTACCTTCGCTCACTCTTCACTTCCCATAATAGCATCTGGACTTTTCCGTAATGTCATCTCTTTTTGCAAAAAAAAAAAAAATATATATATTTACTCACACTTTTGGTTATGTCATCGTTGAGATCTCTCCTACTTGAGATCTTCTCAAGCTGTGGAACAATTATGCACACTCGCTTGCACGTGCTCGCTTCTCCATTCCTAGACAAACACACTCCACCAGCCCCCGACTTTCTAGCTGGTTTTTCCCTCCTTCTTGATTCCTTCTGTCTAATCGCCCTTATCTGAGCTGCTCTACCTTGTGGGGTCCACAGGACTAAGGACCCACATTTTCAAGTCTATAGACAAGGGCTAATAGTCATCAACACACTCAATGCTGTTTTGTTTTGTTTTGTTTTGATCCAAAAAGTCAAGCCAAGTTATCATGAAGACATAAAGACAAGTAACACGGTGGTTATGTTGTGTGTTGTTGGAGAGTCGCTGTTCTGTGTTCCTGGTCATGTTTTGGTTTTAACAGGGAGAGGAAGGTTTCCCCGGACCCCCTGGTTCTCCTGGCCAGAAGGGATTCCCAGGTCCTGAAGGCCAGCCTGGACTACAGGGACCCAAGGTATGTCATCTCTCAGCCTGGGAGATCCCACCCACCCAACCTTCTTTCTGCTTACCCCTTGGGCTGATGAGAAGCTGGGGAAAAATCCACCTGTTAGCCAACTCTGGAAGCCACAGTAAACTCCGCCCTGCAAGCTGCTTTCTGCTCTGAGACCACTCAGGTGGTCCACATTACCTTCCAGTCCCCTATTCGGCTCCCTCCTCCGCCCCCCTCCAGGGTTCCCGCCCTTGCATCTGCCCTGTCTCCTTTTAGGACCCACCCATCCCCTGTGTCCTGGGCACTGGGGTCACCACTAGAACCTTCTTCCCAGAGCAGCTCCTCTTGCAGGACTGTCCAACTTTGCTTTCACTGTTGGTTAGTCTGTCTTAGTCCTTACACATGAAAAGATTTCCCCGTCTAATATAAAACTTGCTCTCAGCCCTTCAGGTCCTGTAACGAGAGCCTGGCCATCCTCTCCCGTCCTTCCTCTGTCCAGCTTCTTAAAAACAAAACAACAGCTAAGCATGCTGGCGGCAGTTCCCCTTCTGCTTGCTCCTCGGTGGGTGGCGATTTACTTCCCACACCCTCCGCCCTAAAAACACTCCAGCAGAGCCTGACAGTGACTCTAAGTGGCCAAGGTCAAAGCAACCGTTTTGTGTCTTTCTCTGACCCCTCTGTTTTATTTCAAATGACATGAATCACTCTTCTCCTTGAAACACTGGTCTCAATTTCTGGAATCCTCCTTCCCCTCATTCTCCTCTTTGCCCCCACCTCGCCATCCTTCACGGCTCCTCCTCCTCAGCTGGTCCCTTCACCTTCAGGGACCCAAGGTTTTCATCAGATCGCTCCCCTGGAGCCTGTGAGCAGCAAGCGGGTCTGCTTAAACAAATGCCCAGAGGATCTGCTATAGACCCGCACAGCTCTGCGCTGGCAGATGGCTCTTCTCTGCTGTGGACATCAGCTGGACCTGAGCCTGGACACCCCGGCCACGCCCCTGACCCCAACCTCCAGGCGCTGTGGGCTCGCTGACACCCTGCGAAAGGCTTAATAAGGATGCCCGGTCTCTGCATTGTGGAAGTCACACACCAATGCCCGCAGTCATCACGGGCAGCCTGGGGCCTGTGTTCCTGAGGGTGGCCAATTTTCCCCGTAAACTGTTCCCTTAAGTCATGACTCTCATGGCTGAGAACTTCACTCCCGTTGCGGTCTCCATTTTGCAGAGCAGGACATGGATACTCAGAACACTTAAGTCACTTCTCTTGGGTTCCATAGCCAAGTGGTGGGGAACCCAGACTTCTAACTAGTTTTGTTTTGTTTCATTCATTCACTTCCCCAGTGATGTTTACTGATGCAAAGTGGGTTGACAGCATGTCTTTGGCTTAGGGGTTAGAGGTTCCCACCTGGGCAAAGGTGTGTGTTTGACTCCAGCACTGAGCTTCTGACCCCAGGGCCCTAACCCACACCCAGAGTTCCAAAACAGACTGAAACTCCCGAGAATGATGAAAACAGCTTTTGGACAATAGAATTTTCTCTCCAAGTGGCCTAGTTAAAAGTCTCCGCTTAAGGCTGTGCGCTAAAACACAGCGCCCAGACCGTGCTTGAGGCAAGATCATCTCTAGTTCCTGCAGTCCTACGGGACTATTCACTTACTTGTACAAATCGGGCACATTTTGCTCATGAAATGTTTCACCTACACAGAACTTTTGGCCGCCAAAGGGGCTTTCACAGCCATTTCTCACATGCTGAAGTGAACCTGAGTCACTCGCTCCGGCTGAACCAACCCACACATCTGATGGGCTGGGAGGTGGAGGAGACAGAGGCCCGCGCTCTCCTCAGCTCTGGCTGACCAGCTGAGACCCCTTTTGAGCAACTGGGGTTGGAAGGAATCTTGATCCTTTCTGATGACCTTTTCAGCTCCAGTGTGACAAGTAAACAGCTGAACTATGCCATCAGTGAGATTACAGGAGCAAAACAGTTCGGCTTGTGAAGAAAACGGAACCTTGAACAGATGAGTTTCTTGTATCGTGTTCACCTTTTGTTTTCTCATTTGGCTCTAGGGCTCCCCGGGACTCCCAGGACTCACTGGCCCCAAAGGCATAAGGGTTAGTAGCACAAGAGTCCACCCTGAATGTTTGATGACAGTGTTTCTTCTTTTAAAAAGAAGCCTGCACTGTGAAAGTTCTGCCCATGGAGAGGAGAGCATGGTGGGTGCGCCTCTCTGTAGATGAAGTTCAAGAACAGGTAGAACTGATCTGTAACAGTCAGCCAAAGTCAAATAGTGGCTACAATCCTGGGGCAGGAATTGAGTGACTGGGAAAGGACAGAAGGGAGCATTCGGGGCTGGGGAGTGGCCGGAGGGATGTTCTGAGGCTGGGCAGGTGCTGGCCATCCAGATGTGTACACCTGCCCCGTGTCAAGGGCCCTCCAGCTGTTGCTGGAAGACTGGACTCCTCTAATGCAGGCAAATTATACCCTAAAACTACATCCCCCAAAGCCTGGATCAACCTTAACCATCTTTTTTTTTTTTTTTTTTCAGTTAAATTAATGTAAGATTTACAAAAACCTGCTAAAAATTGTTTTTGTTTTTCAGATCATTTTTAGTCATTCCCAATTATAGTTGCAAGATGGTGTAATTGGGGTGATAAATCATTCTATGTTTGAAAGTTCAGTTTCGAAAGGGTTTTCTTGTCTCCCATTTCTGTGTCTCTAGGGACTACCTGGATTGCCAGGATTTTCAGGTCCTCCTGGACTTCCAGTAAGTACTAAGAAAATTGGTGCATTTGGGTAAATGAAAAGTAAGCTCATTTTGATAAAGATCATCACACAGTAGCACAGGAAATGGCCACTGAGACATCTGCTACATAGTAACAGTGCAGGAGAGAATCACAAAGTGTACCAGAATGGACCTTAGAACACACATGCAAGTGGCATTGTATTTGCTAAATTACAACTGGAATAGAATAAAACGGGAGGGGTGAAGTGGGTTAAGGTGGGCTGGGATAGCAAAACTGTTTAAGAACTAAAATAATAAACGTGTCCCCTGTACACAAACTTCATTTTCCTCCCAACCTAAATTTGGTACAGAATTTTGTATAGAAAGTCCTTTTGTTGAATCTAAAATATCTGTCTCTCACTTGATAATTTTGGGCTTTAACTAACCCATTTCACTTGCTATGGTTTTGACTTAAATTACTACCTAAGTGACTGCTAGATTTACTGCTTAACTATCTCAATAACCAGCTGAGTTTGCTCGACTCTGCCCTACCTGGTCCCCGGGCCGTCGGCCACGCCCCCATTTGACATTTGTTCTGATTTCAGGGTGCCCTGGGCCTTCCTGGGCCGTATGGACTTCCTGGCCTCCCAGGATGCAATGGTTCCAAGGTACGTTCCTCGCACGCGGGAGATGATAGACAGGAGCTGTGCTGAACGAACAGATACAGACACAGTAGCGATGAGAGGAGAGGGGCTTTCCCTGGGACACCTGCACCCAAGCCAGTGGCTCGTGTCTACAAGGCAGAAATAGGATATTTGAACCGGGAAGCTTCCTGTTTTCTTTCTCATATTTTGCTTGCTGAGACTCTTTCATGGAAGTTCTCCCACAGGAGGGTGACAGGGAGCTGAACTTGTTGTGTCGCCTGAGGCTGTGAGTGCCACGGCTGAGACACAAGAACCAGTGATGGAAAATCAGCCTTTGAGGAAAATCAGCCCTCTGTGCTCACCCTGGTCCCCCCTAACTGCCCCCCCCCCATTTCCCCAGTGGGAGGCCAGGCCCAGCATCTCAGGAAACACAGTAAAGCAGGCTTCGGCCATTTAGTCACAATTTGAGAAATAGTTGCTTCTCACCCTGGTCTCAGTGAAGATAATGACTTTCCAGCCTTCAGCTTGAAACCCAGGAGCTATAAAGAAATTGGGTTATTTGTCTACATTTACCACTGTCAGGTTGAAAAAGCAAGGAAAATACCTCGCTAGGCTCTTCCTGAGCAAGGAACAATGACAGACTCTGCCTGTCTTGCAGGGGGACCCAGGCCTCCCAGGACTCCCAGGCACCCCCGGCTACCCAGGCACCCCGGTAGGTTGCTGGCTCTAACTCCCCACCACAGAGGTGTAGTTTCCTCCTGGGGGGTGGGGGAGGGGGCGGGCAGGGGGTAGGAGTAGCGGGTAGTGCCCAGTGGACTAATGGTGAATGAGTAGGTGCTGTGTCGAGACTGTTCAGCTTTGGAGACATCATGTGGAATTGCTGCACAGATAGCGGGAGTCACTCAAGGAGAGCCCTGCAGCGGCACCGAATCAGGAGTGAGCGAGAGGAGGGAGTGAGACCTGGAAGATGGAGGCCTCAGGGTGTGCACACCAGGTCCAGGGCCTTGGACCTGCAGAGAGGCTGCTGACAGAGGGCAGTGAGGAAGGGGCAGGCTGCTGCCTGAGCTGCCCCGAGTTCCGGGGAGCAGGAGCCAGCATCTGTCAGGCCTCCGCAAAGTTAGGCCCTCACAGAGCTCCACAGGGAGACCCCCCAGGAGGCCGGCATGGGGGCAGAGGGGAGCTGGGGAGTGAGGGTGTGGACACAAAGCGGGGCGTGCAATGGACAGGATGGGCCGCCCCGGGGATGGGCCGTAAGGGGGCTTTGCTGGTTGTTTGAATGAGCGAGACAGGCTGTGTCAAAGCCAGTGGACACAGGGCCGGAGAGCGGAGCACTGGAGAGCAGAGCAGGACGAGAGGCCCTGTGATCTGCCCCTCCCACCCCACTATTAACATGCTGCTCCTTCTCCTAGGGCACTGCTGGCTCGAAGGGAGAGAAGGTGAGTCTGCTCCGGAGTGTTACTCCTGAAAACCTGCACCTGCACATCTGGAAAGGACTTCTGTTACATATGAGTGTCACTGTTCCAAAGAAGTTTTCTTAACAACTTCAGAGATCTTGGGACGCGGTTCCGTGCTGATTGAGCAACCCCTCCCAGCTCTGCTCAGAAACATACCTCTGGGGGCCTCCCTCAGGACAGAGGCGTTAAGTCTCAGCACCGTCACTGCTCTGGCCTGAGTTCCATCCCCAGCCAGGGAGCTGACCCACAGGGCACAGGGACCTCTCCTGTCTTGCCTGCTGCTCCCCTCAGCAGTGGATTTTAGTGGATCTGCCTGTTCTACTCCCTACTCTATCTCTGGTGACTCCCCTTATACCTCTGTACTGTACCCTAGTTCTTCTATGTTAAAAAAAACACAAAAAACTTCTAGGAACCCATCCATCCTGCCTTCAGGAAATAATCTAAGCAAGAACTGGCCCCGAGCTCTGATCTTGGTGTCTTAGGAAGTGGTTCATCCCATGGGTGCCTTCCTCCTTCCACTGGAAATAGTCAGTTAGAGAAAGTGAAAATGCTTGGAATTCTTCAAATTGGAATAGCTACATAACCCTAAACCATTTATCTCTGACAGAGCCTGAAAAGCACTTTTATTCTTGAAGCAGTTTGACTTGAATCAAAGGTGTTGAAAAGATCAAACTCATCATTTTCTTTGCTTTCAAGGGCGCTCCTGCTGAAGGGCCAGGCCTCGATCTGGGCGGGGAAGGCGACCCGGGATTGCCAGGAGTTCCAGGGCCCCAGGTGAAACTGCCGAGTGCTCGCTCCTCTCCTGCTTTGTTCCCTTCTGCCTTCACCTGTCCCTCCCCCACATCTCTTCTCACTCTCTTACGAAGATTTTAATGACATTCACATTTCATCTCTTTCTGTATATACCTGTTTCAGTCTAACATACGCCTGTGATGAGAAATCCCATGAAGCTGGTAGAAAAGATGACTTTAGATCCATGTCTTTAAACCTCTTTCACCTCAATCTCCCAAGCCTTCCTAGCCCTAAGGAGGACTCTCCAAGGATTAACCTGTCCCACTTTGTATTCATGAACTCAAGAGAGGTTTGCGTCATGTGTGGCATCCAATTGAAAACGCCATAAAGGCCCTGTGACACAGCCTGCAGGCTGGAAGTAGCAGCGTTTTACTTAAATGTATTCTCCTCTTGTGGACTTTTCTTTCTTTCTTGCCTGTGACTGTGTAGTCTGACCTCCAAGGTCAGAGACTAAACTCTCTGGGTCTTTGTCTTGTGATTCAAGGTGACCTTCCTCCCCAGAGGCCTGTCACACATACCAGCTTTCAGTTCACCACCCTGAATGTTTTGGGTCTGTTCAGAAGCATCTGATCTCTGGGCTGGAGACTAGACTTGCCTCCGTGAGGCCCTGAGTTTGAGCTGGGCCGGTGAGATCCTGTGTGGCAGGTCAGGCCACTGAGGCTGCCCACCTCACTGTCCCTCAGCCAATAAAAGGAAATAGTTTGAGGAAAAGGAAGGAGCTTGAATTTGTTGATAGATGAGGAGGGCTGCAGACTCGTGTCTGAAAGACCACCGCACCCCTCTTTGGCAGGGTGCAGGGTTGTTTATACCAAGGGGAGAGAAAGGGGAGATGGGCAAGGGTCTGCCGAGGGGCGACACCCAGATTCCTTGGATTTTTAGTGGGTGCCAGCCTGTATTATCAGCAACTGCTGTTTCACTCCCTTTTCCTTGGAATTCCAGAAGACACACCTGTAAAATGGGGGGTGGGGAGATGCTGAGTGGAGGTGGGGGCAAGACAGGAGGAAGATGAGCCAGTGCTTATCTGAGAGACCGGTCATTTGTCTTTGCATCACGACTGAGCGGCAGAACCAGGCAAATGACATGATTTGGGGCCACCAGCGAACTTTGAGAGAAGACGTAGAATGTGATGACTCCTGGGTTTTGCGCTTAGGAAACATTTGCGGGGCCAGATGCTGAGGCAGTGGATCCAGTAGGAGGAGACAGTAGCAGCCTGATGTTTGCAGGCCATCGAGTGGCCTTTAAATGCTGTGTCCTGCACACACCATGCTACTGTCAAAGCTGTAACAGCAAGACGTTCATTTAGGGGACAGTGTAACACATGTATGCGCAGATCAATTATAGACATAAAAGAGAACAGAGGAGGGATGTTTATGAGGTGTCAGTCGAGTGCCAGGGCTATGCAAGGCTCTAGAGACACCGCTGTGCACCGTCTGTAAAACACAGTTACAGCTATTCTTGCCCCCATGAAGCTCACACCGCAAGTATGAAAAAAATATGCAGATTGCTGTGTGGTATGTTAGATAGTAATAAATGTCAAGGGAGGAAATCCTGCAGGGACAGGGTTTTAGGAGGAGGGTCTTGGTGGGCAGAACCATCTTGGGGAAAGGATGACATTTGGGTCAAGAATAAGGAGAGGAAGTGAGTCGGATAAATCTGGGGGAAAAAGGTTCAGGTAGAGGGGAGCAGTGGAAGACTCTGAGATGTGAGCATGCGTGGAGTTGGGGGGGGGGAGAAGAAGAAAGAAGGGGAAAGGTACAAAATCACCTTCCTCCCCCCCTCCCCGAATGTCAGACTCTTCTGGGTCATCCTCCTGGGGACAGTCTCGTCAGGATGGGCTACCAGCCTGTCACCATGGCCACGTTTGTTTGGCATTAATGTAACTTACCGGAACCCTCAATAGGGGCCCTGATACTCAGGCTTTTAAAAAGTGTGTTCATGTCATCAAGGGACGCTGTAAGTTTCAACTTGCTCTTAATTCTTCTCCATTTCAAGGGTCCGCCAGGCCTCCCGGGTGCCCCCGGACCTGAGGGCCCACCTGGCCCTCGAGGATTCCCCGTGAGTATGAAGCTGCCGTTGCTGTATTTGCCATCAGCTGATACATTCCGAGCAACTCAAATGTTTAAACTGGCTTCCTGGCGTGATGCATTTCCTGCTGTAACCTTAATGTGTGGCTTTCCCTAGGGCTTTCCAGGAGCCGTGGGCCATCCAGGACCTAAGGTAGAGATGACAACAAACAGCTGCGCTCCTCACTGCTCTGGTGCACTAAGGGGATGCTCACTGGGGGTGCCGCTCGGGACACTCCGGGATCCCAGTGGGAAGGGAGTGCAGCCTCCAAGTACCTGTTTCTCTTCCCCTGACACTTCAGTCACTTGACTCCTGTCAAGAGGGCTTATTTCCATTCCAGCCAGAGGCAAGAATTCCTAGTCCACAGGTTTCGCATTCACGACAATCCTACTGATTGCCCAATTCTTTATCCTATAACTTTTTGAAGTTCAGCTACTCATCCTCATTTTTTTCCTGTTGGATCATTTGAGATTTTACTTGCTTTATTCTCCCCAGAATTTCCCATTTCCCCTTGACCCCTGATCGCTCCCACCTCCCTCTGAACATCAGAAACCTCGATTTGTTACTCGCTGACGGCTGTGTAGGTAATTCACTCTGTCATATCATCTGCTAAGTAAACATCATTGATGTGGACATTCTGACTTGCTTTACTAAATGTAATTCCCTCCTATTTTGCTGAATGTGGCAACATTTCAATTTTCCTCAAGGCTGAATTCCACTGTGTGACTAGAACATGTCTTCTTGATCTAGTCCTTGTCAGCGGGCTTTTGGGTAGGTTACCCCCACTTTTATCTAAGATGAGAGCCTGAGGGCATCATAAGTTATGGAGACAAAACTAGCTAGTGACAGAGCCGGGAAATGGGCTCTGGCTGGGCTCCTGTCCCCTCCCCCACCCTGCACCCTCATCTATCATTACAAGTAAATGTCTCAAACACTCCACCCTTAAAAGAGACACTGGGTTTTGTGTTTTCTTACAGGGTCACATGGGCGACAAAGTGATTGGACAAAAAGGAGAGCGGGTAATTGTAGTCTGTGGGTGATTTGAGGTCGGATATTTAGAATTCCTGAGCAGTCACCTAGATTTGTCTTCACAAAGCCATGTTGCTGCGTGCCAGACTTCTGTCTACTCTGTTTCCCCACGGATGAGTTCAGGGGGAAGGCTCTCCCCTCCAGTGCAGTGAACGGGTGGTCTGACTTTCCTATGCTGAGTGTGTTTGTCTTTAGGGTGTACAAGGATTGAGAGGACCCCCGGGGGCCCCAGGAGCAGTGATTGTGACGCAGACCGTCTCAGACAACTACACGGTAATCCTTGTGCTGGGTCCTGTCCCTCTCTGTCCAGCCCCTGAAGGAGGAGCCCAGGTCTGGCTTGGCTCCCCCCCACCCCCACCCCCGCGCCCAAGTGGGTGTTCAGTGCTTGTGAATAAATGGTGTCTCCAACTGGATGGGATGACTTCAGGTCCAGGAACGGGGGTGTCATAATGAAGTGTGACCCCCCCAATGACAGTGGGGTCCCTTGCTCTCTGTTATTTTGACACGGATGTTTGCTTTTTGCTCCCTTAGTGGAGGGGCTACACGGACTATGGTGTAGACCTGAATCCAGTGCTCAGGCATAATAAATCAGAATTTATCCCTTCCACAAAATCAGTAACCCTACAATCTGTACCAGGGGGTGAGGAGGCCTGGGGGTAGCTACAGTAGCCATGTGGAGAACAAGTAAACTTTTATTCATTCATTTATTTATTTTTGTGTAGAAGAGCTGGGATAGCGGCCAGAGGTTGGTGTGGGGGGATGAGAGCATTCACCAGAGATGGTGGGGAGCAGAACAGGCAGATCCACTGAAACACACTGCTGAGGGGAGCAGCAGGGAGCCAGGAGAGGTCTGCTGTGCCATGTGGGTCAGCTCCCTGGCTGGGATTGAATTTGAACTGAAGAGGCTGTGGCTAGCATCACAGTGCTGTGCT